TTCTGAAGGGTCTAGGCCCGAAACGTCAGCTTTCCTGCTTCTCTGATGTTGCTTGGCCTGCCGTGTTCATCCAGCTCTACACCTTGTTATCTCAGATTCTCCAGCATCTGCAGTTCGTACTATCTCTGAAACATTCCAGATGAAGTCTGTCCAAAGATTGGTACAACTGAAGCATCACTTTCTTACCATTGAATTCCAACATCCCAGGATAATACCCAATATTCCATAAAGCACTTTTAGTTACATTTTACACTAGTGATTTATATTTCCGACTGCTAAATCCCTTTGTTCTTACATGATTTTGCATATATCATAATTAACAAAATATTTCTTGCTTCAAAAGCATATCGTATCACACTTCCCCATATTGAGCTCCATCTGCTAGTGGATTTGCCTGTTCATTTAATTCGTAATTTTTTTTGCACCCAACCACGTACCTACACATACAATTCTATTCCTTCATCCCCTGTTTTTGTTACCATAATTTAACCTTCTAAACCCTAGTGTCAGTCTGGCACTTTAAACCCTCCTTTCTGAAATGCATTTCCTAAAGCCAGATGTGATGTGTCCAAACATTAATGGTGAAAAACTGAGGGTCCACAACAGGTACCTGGGGATTACCAATTACAAAACCCCTCAAATCAAAATAGTTGGTTTATGCCTGCTCTCAGCACCCTGCCTCCAAATCTGTTTCTAACTCATACCTTCAGTTCCATATGCTGTCCCTTCTTTTAACAACAACTTGTGCAGATCCTTATCAGATGCCTTTTCCATGTCCACATCATTTCTTCTCTGCCTGCCATCCCATCTGAAATAAAGGCAAGATAGTTTCAACACTATAATCCAAAGGCACAATTACAAAAAAATTTGAAAAATTGTGATTAATTCATATGCAATTTCTTACCTGTTGCTTTTAATACCCGAGGTGAAAGCCATCAGGTCCTGGAGATTTGTTCATCTTAAATCCCACGTTATTGAGTTAGTGAGATCAAAACCAGTAAATAACCACTGCCAGTCAAGATTAATTCAAAGCAATAAAATGGTTTAAATCAATTTAAGTGGGATCTTCACCAGTATAGCATGACAGAATGTAAGCTTTTACGTAGTCAGCTATCCAACCAGCACATTTCTACCAAATCCAGCAGACCTCCTGTGCTACTGGTTACAAAGTGGATGAGAGCAGCGTGATGCACTGCCCCAAGACGGTTCACATGTTTGATAGACGAGGATTTTGTAGCTGGCAACACCAGGTAAGTTCTGTCTCTGTGCTAAGCACAGGCCACAGTGTAGATCAATGTAATTAAACAGCTCTCCATATCCTCCATTTTGAATGTTGAGTCCACAGGATGCAGTATGATAAGAGGTAGAAAGAAAAGTATCTTGGAGCAATAACATTTGCAAACATGTTTGTTGTACCATGAAAAGAAGCTCTCATCTCAAGCTTCATTTAAACTGTGCACCAACATAATAATTCTCTGAAATCACTTGTACATTTTTTTGGGAGGGTGAGAAGGTAGGATGGCATTTTATGATGGGGCATAAGGAAGCTACGAGGGGACATAGATGGGTTGATTGAGTATGAAAAACCTTAGCAGAAGTGGTTTAATGCAGGAAAGTGTGAGGTGAAAGGTGAAGTTGCCATAGGGCTGTTCTCTCATTGGAGAGAGGTGATAGTGGTGGTTTAATCTGAGGGTTACTACACCTCAGGTGAAGGAGAGGTTGAGAAGGTAGGACCCTCATAGTAACCTCAGCTGGTGCAGGAATTGAACCCATGCTGTTAGTACCTGTCTGCACCACAACTGAGTGTGAGGTTGTGTATTTTGCTAGGAAGAATCAAAGGCAGAATATTATTTAAATGGAGAACCATTCCGAAAAAAATTACAGCTTTGAGAGATCTGAATGTTCTTGTGTATGAAATTCAAAAAGGTTAGCATGCAAATGCAGCAAGTATTTAAAAATGCAAAAGTAATTTTGGCTTTTATTGCCAGGGGTTGGAGAGTAAAAATAGGAAACTCTTGTTACAACTGTACAGGGTGTTGCTGAGGAAGTAACCTTAGTTATATGTTGGCCCAGGAAGAGATTATCAGATTCTTATGACTGGATGTTAAAGCCACAGTTAAATTAAGTCCCATGGAGATGATAGAGAAGGAAAATTCTCTCTGATGTGATTACTTTAAAGTATGGTTTTATGATGACTTGGATTATATTTTTAACGTATGTATCAAAAACTTTATGTATGTATCAAAGTATGCTATGTGAAAACAGTTTGATTTATTCTATTTTGTCATAATTTCTTTTGTATAATAAACTTATGTTTTATTGTTAAAACCAAATTTGCAACATTGCATCTCAGTGAGAGACTACCTCACTGAAACCAAAGAAAATGATACACGAAGCGAGATTTCAGTCTGAGATCTGATTTGTACACTAATAACATCAGCTGGGATTATAACAATAAAAATTAGCCAAGTTTAGCTAACAATGAAATGCAAGTGCATGTAAATAAAGTAGCTACAGCTCACCAGCAATTTTCAGAACTTGTTGTTTTAGACCCTAAGAGAATAATCAGAAATGTATTTCTCAACTTTGGGAATCTGGTTTTCCATTTTTGCAAAAATTGCTTGATAGCACCCACACCACTCAAGGGAGTGTAAAGTCCACCCTTTACTTTGGAGTTCAAGGGCACTTCTGAGTTGCATGCTTCTGCCAGGTTACTTTGTGAAAGCCGGGACACACACACATATCATGGATCTGCACAGAATACATGTTATGGCTCTTAGATTTCTTTCTTAGTGCGCTTTTTGCTGACTTGGAGGCTTCCAGCTTAAGTCTCCTTTACATTGCTCTCTCAGTGCATACTCACTGACTTCAGTACTGAGTTACAGGTTGCCACTTCTGTGCAGCTCATATTGTTTTCTTAGTTCACAAGCCCCCACGGGCTACATTGCTTGTTAGTATAGAGAAGGGAGGCAGGTAGTTTGTCACAGTAGGGAGTACCAAACAGCCAAGGGGATGCACATGTACCACAGTACGCTATGTCAATTATATGCCAGCAATGTACATGGCAAAAACATTTCCTTCAAGCAAATGACCATGTGTAGAAATCAAAGGGGAGCATTCTTAATTGGTGAAAGGGGCACCACAGTCAGCCGGATGTACCACAACAGTCAGTCAAGGGACTCACCCTACTCCAGTCCAGGCCATTGGCCATGGTCGATCAGGCACTTTGTCCTACCAGAGTATGCAGATCTGACCTTGTAATCTGGAGATTTGGCCACAGTCAGTTCTGCAGGTCCAGTTTGGAATCAAGTAAATAGGTTCAAGGATTGATTATGCTGGAAATGGATGGAAGAGCTGTTAATGGTGATGCAGGAACAGGAGAGGTGATGAAGTAGCCACAATGAGTGAAAAGGAACCACAGATGCAGGCCGGTTTAACAGTTTGTTAAGAATGAGGTGAGTGAGAGCCATTGAGTGGACACGCTGCATGCAATAGTGAGAGGTGTGTGAAGTTGCAGAGTTAGAGTGAGTGATAGCCCAGTGTGAGGTGGCAGGCAGAGATCGTGTCACTTATCCTTGCAGAGTGCAGAAGATCATTATCCTTTCTTTCTGCACTGCTGAACTTCCCATTAAACTCAGGCTATTGCACTGACCTGGGCTACATTTGGGGTCCAGGCTGTCTGTGTCTGATGATGTTCCTGTAGCAAAAAGGACTACCTTCTCCTTTCCATGTTACACAGAGACCTCTAGGAAGCTGCCCATGAAACAACAAGCGAACTTTCAGCTCGGTGGTGTCCTTGGAGATAACTGTGAAGATCATTGGGGCAGTTCTTTGTTTCTAGTGCCTGAAGTAGTATGTTGTTAGGCTTTAAATATGACCCAAATGGCAGAATCCCAAAAGAAGCCTTCAGCAGAGAGGTCTTTCAGCTCTCCAGCTACATGATTCCCTGACAAAGGTTCCCAAGAGCTTGGTTACCTCAGTGATGATGGGCACAAGTGGAAGATTGAGTGAGAAAAGTCACTCCCAGCCCTGGCAGAGCAAGTGACTCAACAAAACACTTTAACTGAAACTGAGAAAATTTCACCTGAGTGGAACAAGGGACATTTCTATTTCTGATATTGGTATTTTGTGACTGTTGACTATGTGTCTGCTATTGCTGAATAAGGAACATTCTCTTTTCCGTTGATAATTGCCCAATTGGATGGGGCTGAGAGAATCTACTTTCAGTGTAGCTGGGGTAGAGAAGGAATTTTCATCTCACTGATCTGAACTGAGTTTATCCCATTCTCCTCAAGGTGACAGCCAAGTTCTTACCTGCTATTTTACTGGAAAGGCGAGGAGATTAAATTGTGCCTCTCTGATAGGCATATTTCTGCTCCTATGATGCTGCTTGGCCTGCTGTGTTCATCCAGCCCTGCACCTATGTGGTTTTTGACCTTTTAACCCTTAACTTTCAGGTTCCTCAAAGAGCTTATCTAATTATTGTTATTTTTTGATCACACATGGGAACGAATAAGCCTGTAAAGCCTCACTTATTTTGAATGGTTTCTTTATCTTCTTCGGAAGGAGGAGTGAAACAAAGTGCCTAGCACAACCCAAATGTGCAAACAATTATAACTTTACACAGCAAAAGGCAAATAGTGCTCTTATTAATTCAAATTCAAACAAAGAAATTCAGTATTCCACAGCTCTATGATCAGCCTTTTTATCACTCATTCTACATTAAATTTACAAATGATGACTACACTGAGGTGTATTACACGCAATTAAAATACAACACTGAATTCCTAACTGTTGGAAACATTTCCTCAACAGTTCAGATATTACCTTGCTTCTCCCTGTTTGCTGTTGAACTGATTTGTCTTTCACTGTCTGTTTTACTTCAGTGATTGTGTGTTCCTGAGGAGATGCGAATTATTAAAACCATGTGAAATGAGTGAAATGATCTAAACTGATTACTGACCTCAAGATGCTATAAGCAATATTTTTGTAGCTATCACCAAAACAATAAGCTGACTTAAAGTGCATGCATTAGTTAGCTCAGTTGGCTTGTTGATGGTTTGCAATGCAGAATACTCAACTATGTAGGTTCAATTCCTGTGCCAGTTAAGATTACCATTTCAACCTTGCCTCTCACCTGAGCTGTAGAGATCCTTAGGTTAAATTCACCACTGATTGCCTCTCTCTAAGGAGAGCACAAGCCTATAGCAATTTTGCCCTTTATAAAGTAACATTAAGTAATGTACTTGTCTAACGAAGGAAGTGAGTGATTGAATGCAGGACGATCCTGGAGTCAATCCATTTTTGTACTGAATTAACATTATGTCAACCAGAGATGTTCTAGGAAATTATGATTGGACTTGGTATCACTGATGAAAGTTTGATCAGGACTTCTTTGCTTGAACGTGAGTTGATTACTGCTGCTGTATGTCTATGTTTGGATGTTAGGAGAGGCCATTAAAAAAACACAAAGCACTGAGGTTATTTCTAGTAAGATAGAATTGCATAGCAGAGAGGTTTTTTAAAGTTGTATAGAACCTTGATTAGACCACACTTGGACTGTTGTATATTGTTCTGATCCCAGTGTTATAAGAATATAGTGACAGTGGCAAAGGCGCAAAATAGATTTCTAATCATGATGATAGAGCTGAGAGGTTATAATTATCAGGAAACATCAACCAGGCTAGGAATTCTTCTGGGAAAGCGAAGGTGAGAGATAACTTGAGTGAGGTGGAAGATTATGATTAGGTAAACATAGAAAAGGTATCTCCACTGGTGGTTAAGACCAGAATTAAGGACTAAAAAAGCCTGTGAGGGAACTCAGGTGAAGTTTTCTTTTAACTGTAAGATAGTGAGAATATTGTGACAGGTTAGGTGAAAGTTAAAGTCACTGTAGGGTTTCTCCCTCATTAGAGATAGAGAGACAACTGGTGGTGGTTTAAGATGAGGATCACCACACCTCAGACTATCATTCATAGTAATCTCACTCAGTGTAGGAATTGAACTCTGGCAGTCATTGGCTTCATTCTATATTACAAACCAGCTGTTCAACCAACTGAGCTAAACCAGCTCCAAATAAAAGCTGGCTAAATGTCAAGGAATCAATGGCTAGATAAAGAGAAATCAGTAGTAACCAAACAATGTAACAGAACTCTAAAGCCTGAATATTTTTAATTCCAGAATTAGTCCAATGCCAGAAATGGATTAAACATCTAAACCTCAGAACAGCAGTCCCCAGTATTTTTCTTGTTTTGTAATTGATCTTCATATGGTGCATTATTAAATTAGTGTTGTCTGTGCTGAATCAGGGGATAGTTTTGTGCTGGGAGGAAACAATCCTGAGTTTCTAACTAGTATTAATCCTGTGTCTTCCTATGTATTGTAACTTTGCCTGTTTTCATTTATAGATATATTATTCTGAAGGCAAACTGACGTACATAAGCAAAGAGTTCAAAGGCAGATTACTGGCTGCACAAACCCCAGGAAATGCATCTATTACCATCAAGAAGCTGCGTCCATCTGACACTGGGGATTATCTGTGTGAAGTTGATAATCCACCGGATTTCACAGGCACTAACATCAGATCAATAGTGCTCACAGTATTAGGTAGCTCATCAGTCACCTGTATAATTTTCTTGTCACCATTTTTCATTCAATTTTCAACTCTGCGGTCATCAAATTGATTTTTCTTAAAAATGTGTTCATAGTGTGTGGCCATCCTCATTCCCAGTTTGCTCTGAGTCTGGAGTGACATATAGGCCAGAGCAGGTAAAAAATGGCTGATTTCATTTCCCCTAAACAATATGAGTGAACCAGCTGGGTTTTTGTGACGTTCATAAGGCTTACTTAGTTGCTGTTAGACTAGCCAGATTTGTTTTTTTTAAATTCACATGTCACTATCTGCCATTATAGGAGTTGAACCCATGTCTGCAGACCATTAGTTAGGGCTGCGAATCACTAGCCCAATTGCAGTACTATTGTGCTACATACTAGAACCTGTCCTGCCTCTGTTATCCCACACCTACACCCAACTTGTGAGTGAGTGTATTGAATCAGCAAGGATTCCTCACATCTCTGGAGGGAGTGGTTCATTACATCTATGACTTCAGCAGGGGAGTGGACTGTGAAACAAGGCTGGGAGATGTACAATAGGCAGCTGATATGTCCACTCTCCATAATAGTGCATTGCTCTGCTGAGAAAAACTGCACAATGTGCTTTCTCTCACAGTTCAATGCTGTCCTGGAGGAAGATTAAACATTTCAGGGTAATTTAGCAGTCTATATGCACCCTGAAACATTGAAAGGTTACCAATGATGGAAGAGTCAAAAGGAAACTCCTCAGAATTCCTCCCAACCTGTTGGCTATCATGAACCTCACTGCACAACATTCAGATGAGATACACTGACTGAAGCCTGAAGAGATTTAGCGCCACGTGATATTGGTGTACTGACTCACTCCCTACTGGTGTTTTCTTAAGGTCAGTAGGACAGCTGGTGTGTAGATAGTTGAAGTGAGAATCACCCAAAGATATCAAGCATAAAGTCAGATAGATAATGAGACATGTATTCAGCAAAACAAAAAGTCAAAAACTGCAAAAATAGCAAGGACCACATCTCCTTTGCAGTAAGCAGAGGGTGCTTGTCAGATTACCATCAGAATGTTAAACAATTAAATAAAATCCAAAGCAGTGTTCATTCATCCCATAGGCAGATTTGAATGAGATTCTCCCTGGCCTCTTGCCCTCACTGATGTATTTCTGAAGAAGGGTCCTGACCCGAAACATCATCTTTCCTGCTCCTCTGATGCTGCCTGACCTGCTGCGTTCCTTCAGCTCCACACTGTGTTATCTCTGACTCCAGTATTGATAGTTCTTACTATCTCCTTGCTCTGTCATGCTGTCTTGGATGGCTCCCCTGTCAATGTTGTGATTCTCACCTTCATCCTCTAAAACTTTCTGCTTCCAGGCAAGGGCCTTTTCACAGCTCCGATTGTGAGGACCACAGCTTGCAACAATGATGTAGGATATCCTTTTCAGGCGATACTGCAAGGCTCCACCAGGACAATATAGACATTGAAACTTTATTTTTAGGAGGCCTATGGTCTGTCCACAATGGACCTCATGGAAGCATAGGCAGCATTGAATCTACATTCTGTGTCACTTTGCGGTTTTGTCAAAGTAACATGAGCCATGTTTGGAGGCTGCCTCCTGTAGCCTTTCCTGCATGGGTTAAGGACCTCGGAAGGACTCAGCAAGCTATGAGTATGTAAAAGTGATGACAGCACCCAGGATATCTGGTGCAGACCTCCATGATTTAGCATTTGTGGCCACAGGTTATTAAACATTGGTAGAATGGAAGCTTTTTCTTTTGATAAATTTAGCAAGTTGTTGCTTGGGCACTGTCAAAGCAACAGGGTGCAGTCAAGAGCACACTGCACCTGGGGGAAGACAGCAATGGAGGCGAATCCCACAGGCTGAGCTGCTTGACTCTCCTCATCATAGGAGAAGGATATGATGAGCTGCAATCTAGAGAAAATGACTTCAATCACAGGGGTATTTATGGGTTGAAGCTTGGGAGATGCTGCATGGAACTCCAGTTGCTCCTTGAAATGAGCTGCTGGCTTAAAAATTCGGGAATGCTGATAGGATTGCCTTGCAGTACTTATGAGTGCAGGTGCTACTCCAGGTTGGTGAGAGTGACCTGGGACACCTTTAATCAGTCCCTGCACTCTCTTTCAGGCCATTGAAGAAAATGACAGTGAGGCCTGTAGATTTGGGGTCTTCACATTCTCTGCCACCTCTGTGATGGATCTACACCTGCTATGTCTTTCTCTCAAGGTTATGCAACAGCTGCTGAAAGTTGCTCTTCTTACTTGGCTTATTGATGAAGTTTTAATCGCTGAGTCCTTCTACATTGTCTTCAGAGTTGCATCAGGGCCACAAGGGCTTCAGCCATGGAAACAATCACTAAGTGAGATCCATGAGCAGATCATCCCTGGGAACTGTTAGAAAGATAATTCACTTTTATTGAAGGAACGCACGTGCCCTCACATCCATCACATGTCACAGCATGACATGAAGGCTTTCCAAGGTACTCACTGTCATACCTCGATAAGGGCCATTGAGGTATATCACTTTATCCAATGCATTTTTCACAACCAAAGTTTGCATGCTATTTTGGGAGTAGAATTCTGCCAGCAAGCCACCTTGCCCACAACCCCTCCCCACAAAAAAGCAACGCTGCCTTACATATCACAGACCATGCCCTTCAGAATTGCAGTTCAGTGTGTGAAAGTGGCGACTGTGAAGCATTGTCTCTCATTGTGAAGTATTGGATGTGTTTGTGAAACAGAAAATTTAGGTGGCACTTTTAAGTGCCTCTATCTCATTGTATTTGCCTAGCTGACATAGCAAGGAGGCAGTTAGTACATGCAATGTAATGGTTATGATTGCTTGACGCCATCATATTTAATCCACATTCTTGGATAATGAATGATCAGCCAATGAAATACAAATTGAAACTAGGTGGGTGGCATTATTGAATCAATGGAGGCATGATTACTGAGATTAGCCATATCCAAAAGTTATACTCCATTCCCCAAAGAAAAAAGTAACTTAATCTGTGAGTAAGAGTCACTGGACTTGAAATGTTAATTTTGCTCTCTCTCCACAGGTGCAGCCAGGCCTGCTGAGTTTCTCCAGTCACTTCTGTTTTTGTTTAAGTAACGTACTCTGCTTGTTTTGTATGCACCGCCAGTCATCTTGTGTAGTTATTGTGTAGTTATCTCCTGATACGACATGACAAGGTTTCAATTTTGTTTTATCATGAATAACTTGCAAGCTCTGGCTGTGACATATAAATTACTCCCTTCTCTCATGTCCCTTTTTGTATTGCTGTCCCTGTGATCCCTATGACCTTCGAGCTTTCCCCTTTTTTCACTGTGCTCCTTTACATTACTCCTAATTTCCCCACTTAACTCACAGAGCCCATGATGTTTTACATGTCCTTGTTGGCCCCAGGTAGAAACCAGAGACCCTGTGACCTGTTTGAACCTTGCTTTCCAGATTTTCACCCTTAACCCTTGATCCTCTTACCAATCAAGAACTCGTCTATCTTGGTCTTAAGTATACTCAATGACTTGGTCTCTATGGCTTTCCCAGGACTCACTGCACTTTCCCTGATAAATACCCTATTATTGAGCAAAACACCAGGGAAGATTGTGACTCACCTCCTGGACAGCCCTGGCTGAACACAATTCCAGGCCCTGGTTTAATGTCTCTATAGAACCCTGATTATCCTTCCTGTAATCCCTAGATTTGCTGCACTTCGTTGCGCTTGCAAAAGGCACACCTCAAGCCTCAATTTGTGCATAGGAACACACACCCTGATCTTCAAAGTAAAGTGCTGGAGAGTTGAAGTGGTAGATGAGTTGTAAGGAAATAAGGTCAATGGAAAAATTTTGAAGTCACTGTTTAAGGGTTGAGGAGAAAATTGCAAAAACATTGCAAGAACATGGGGAAGGCATGGTGGCTCAATGATTAGCACTGCTGCCTCACAGTGCCAGGGACCCAGGTTCAATTCCACCCTCAGGCAACTGTCTGTGTGGAGTTTGCACATTCTCCCTGTGTTTGCGTGGGTTTCCTCTGGGTGCTTTGGTTTCCTCCCACAGTCCAAAAATGTGCAGGCTAGGTAGTTTGGCTATGCTAAATTGTCCATAGCATTGAGGGATGTGTAGATTAGGTGGGTTATAGGGGGTTGTGTCTGGGTGGGATGCTCTGAGGGTTGGTGTGGACTTGTTGGGCCAAAGGGCCTGTTTCCACAGTGTAGGGATTCTATGAATTATAACACACCATGTACAATTCTTTAGGTTGGTAGGATTTGTGGTCTATCCAGGCCTCTGAGTATTCTGTAAGTTTCAATCAGATCCCCCACCCCCCGCATCCTTCTAAACTCTATCAAGTATCATTTGACAAGCCCTTCATCCCCAGGGATCATTCTAGTAAACCTCCTCTGGCCCAAGGGCAGCACATCCTTCCTTAGATACAGGGCCCAAAAATGTTCACAATATTCCAAATGCAGTCTGACCAGAGCCTTATACAGCCTCAGCAGTACATCTCTACTCTTGTATTCTAGCCCTCTTGAAATAAATGCCAACATTGCATTTGCCTTCTTAACTGCCAATGAATCTACCTGTTAACCTTAAGAGATTCCTGAACTCAGGCTCCCAAGTCCCTTTGTGCTTCAGATTTCTGAAGCTATTCCTCATTTAGAAAATAGTCAATGTCTAGACCAAAGTGCATAATCTCACACTTTCTCACATTGTATTCCATCTGCCATTTCTTTTCCCACTCTCTTAGCCTGTCTAAGTCCTTCTGCAGCCTCCTGTCCCTCCACCTATCTTTATGTCGTCTGCTAACTTAGCAACAATGCTCTCAGTTAATTCATCCAGTTTGTTAATGTACAACATGAATAGATGTGGTCTCAACATTGACTCCTTCAGAACTCCACTGGTCACCAGCTGCCATCCTGAAGAAAACTTCCTTATCCCCACTCTGTGCCTTCTGCCAGTCAATTAATCATCCATCCATGCCAGCACCTTGCTCCTAACACCATCGGCTCTTATCTTATTCAGCAGTCTCCTGTGCAGCATCTTGTCAAAGGTAATAGATCATGTCCACTGGCTCTCCTTTGTCTAAATTGCTCCTCAAATAATTCCAAAAGATTTGCTAGGCATGACCGTCTCTTCACAAAGCCCTATTTTACTATGCACTTCCAAGTACACTGCAATCTCATCCTTAATGGTGGACTTTAAAATCTTACCAATGACCGAGGTCAGGCTATTCGGCTTATAGTTTCCTGTCTTCTGCCTCCCTCGCTTCTTATACAGGGGTGTTACATTATCTGTTCTCCAGTCCTTTAGGACCTTCCCTGATTCCTGAAAGCTCATCACTATTGCCTCCACAATCTCCTTAGCTATCTCCTTCAGAAGTCCAGACCTTGCATTTCCCCAGCATGTTCTCCTTAGTGATGGCTATTACAATCACCTCTGAACTCCAAGCTGCTGGTAAAAACGGAAAGAACTGCGGATGCTTAAATCAGGAACAAAAACAGAAGTTGCTGGAAAAGCTCAGCAGGTCTGGCGGCATCTGTGAAGTAAAAATCAGAGTTAACGTTTCGGGTCCGGTGGCTCTCCCTCAGAACTGAGCATTCTGAGCATTTTGTCCCACTGATTGATAATGTCTGATTGAGCATTCTGAGCAAGCCACCGGACCCGAAACATTAACTCTGATTTATTTCTTCACAGATGCTGCCAGACCTGCTGAGCTTCTAGCAACTTCTGTTTTTGTTTCTAAGCTGCTGGTATCTTCCACAATTTAGATTGATACAAAGGACCTATTCAGTTCCTCTGCCATATCTTTGTTTCCCATTTCTACTTCTCCAACCTCATTTTCCAGCCATCCAATGTCCACTTTTGGCTGTCTCACCTTTTATATATCTAAAAAACTCTGCAATCTTCTTTTTTATTACTTGCGAGCTTACTCTAATATTTCATCCTCTTCTCCCTTTTTGCTTTTTTAGTTACCTCCTGCTGGTTTTTAAATCCCCAGACTTCCCACTAATTGTTACCATATTGTATGCTTTTTTTTTGCTTTTATGTTGTCCCTGACTTCCCCTGTCAGCCATAGTTGCCTCATCCTCCCCTTAGTAAATTTCTTCTTCCATGGGATGAATTTCTGCCGTGCCTCCTGAATTCCCTCCAGAAACTCCTGCAGTTGCTGCTTCAGAGTCTTCCCTGCCAGTCCCATCCCCCCTCCAATCAACTCTGGCCAGCTCCTCCCTCATGTCTTTGTAGTTACCTTTACTCAATTGTACTACTGTTTGTAATCTGATTCCAGCTTCTCCCTCTCAAACTGCAGGGTGAATTCTATCACATTATTTTCACTACCCTCGAGGAGTTCCTTCACCTTAAACTTCCAAATTAAGTCTTTGTTATTACACATCACCAAATCCAGGATTGCTTGTTCCCTAGTGGGCTCTACCATTAGCTGCTTCAAAAAAAGAACCATCTCATAGGTATTCTACAAATTCCTTTTCTTGGAATCCACTATTAAACTGGTTTTCCCAGGCCACTCCTTAATCTACAACCCTTAGCTCCTAGGCCCCAACAATCTAACTCATGAAATCCAAGCTTTCTTATTCAGCATTTTGGCAATTTGTATTCTATGGCCTGGAGTCTTGAAAATGACTATTTGTAGTGTTTTTGTCCCACTGATTGATAATGTCTGGTCCAGAACATCTAGCAACTTCAAATATAATGTAATTTAGTTAGAACATTAGTATAAACTTAATACTTGGCTCTTGAGATTCATTGACATACATCTAAACAACCCTTGAAGACTACTAACTTGGAAAGACCTGGTTGAGGTTTCACTATTTTCCGGTATATATTTCCTAATCAACCTTTCAGAGATGTTATTGTACAGCTCTGGAGCAAGTGAGACTTGAACCAGGGACATTACTGCTGTGCCATAAGGGCACCTTCGGTATTTTTGTCCTGGAGATATTTTTAGTCAACCTGCTCCGATGTGCTAAGACACAACTCTGGAGGAGGTGAGAGTTGATCTAAGATCATCTAGTTCAGAGGTAGGGACACTACCACTGTACCATAAGAGCTCTCCTCAGTTTCCTCTACTCGTGATTCCTAAATTTCCCTCTCTACCTTGCCAATTCTATAATCTTGTTATCACTATCTCTGGTCTCCAAATGTCGCTGTCAATTGCTCTGCCCTTTTATGTATATTTAATGAATAAAGAGAATAAACTATAAATAGTGTTTGTGTTGAAGATTCTAATAGATTTGCCCGAGTTCTCTCTCTCTCTAGATGGAAAAGGCAATGTGGCTGACTGCAGTTTTGAGCAGCGAAGAACTCAGAGGAAGAAAACTTGCCTATTTCCATTTATAAAGATTTTCAATTGCTCCTTGTTCCTGATGACAATTACATCAGGAAGCAGAAATTATATTTTTAAAAACTTTGTAAAAAGTATTCTTTGATGCTTAAATTTAATTCATGCATTATTTAAATTACTATGGAGAGATAATTCTTTCCTGCTAAACTCTCACAAGTAGGTCATCACTCTCATTGAGAGTGAAACACAAATTAATAAACAAGAGTCTGCAGAACAATTTCACACCCAACAAAAAAATTTGGTAACTTGAAATGTTCTATCATTTGCCTCAATAATCTTCCTTCAATGCATTTCAGTTAAAGTACTTTAATTTTGTTACAGTTCCACCCTCAAAGCCAAAGTGTGGTATTACAGCCCATCCTGCGAAGACTAATGCAGCAATATTATCCTGTCATTCTGACCAAGGAGTACCAACTCCAAGTTATCACTGGGTGGAAATTGTAAACAATGTTCATCAAAATATTTCTGGCTACTCTGGTAAGAATCAAAAACAAAGTGTTTTCAATACTCAACAGTATAGTAGCTAAGTTACAGTTTATTTCTTTCAGATTTTCCCATTTATTTGTTCCATGATTAGTCTTTTCACTCATTTCCTCACCATTTATTTTGTTTACCTTTCAGACCCAAGAACTGGACTGATGACCATTTCAAATGTTTCACAACATGAACATGGTGTTTACCAATGCACGGCATCTAATAATTTGGGAAACGAGACATGTACAATCGATTTGTCAACACTCTGTAAGCATACTTAAGCCCTTGTTAAACGTGAGCATATAGAATGAATGGGAAAGCTTGTTAATATGATCATTGTTAATAAGAATAGAAACTGTAATGATTGTAACAAGGTTAGCCAGGTGGCCCTCATAGAATATGAGGTCCCTGATTGGGGATGTTAATCTGGTCCAATCAGGGAGTCCTGGCTGATAGATATAAACAGGAGTGTCAGAGGTTCTGTTCACTCTGAGAGCTGGCTCTGAGGGAGCTGGATCACTGTCAAGGACTCTCCACGTGTAACTAAATGTTGACTTGGTGATGGGATACCAGCCTGTGTGGTATTATCTCAGAACCAATTTCAATGAGCAGTAGAGTAGTGCAGATTAGTAAAAGCAAAACATTTAAGACCAAAGCAGAAATTTGATGTCAACTTTTAATAGCAAGTTTTGAGATGCAATGTTGTAATCCAGATGCAAAAGTTGCATTATGGATTTTTCATAGCTAGACTTTATTTGTTGCACTATATATGTACATTAGCATATTGAGGTTATGCGCGAAAGAAGAGCGACAGCTTACACTAGAAGTAAAGGGAGAAATGTGCCAGATTGATTTGTGGGATTGAGAGAAATGAAGAATGAATCCGATGAGACGTATTTCAACCTCAATGGATTGGAGGAGTCAACTTTAACTGAGATGAGAAGGACAGTGGAGAAAAGGAGGAGAATTGTGAGAAGAGAGAATGCCACAGTGAATTGGGATTAGCTGTACAATCATCAATGAGAGTGTTAGAAGTAGGAGAATGACTACTGAGATAACTTTTGGGAAACTTATGGTTTGTGAAAATCTAAATGTCAAATCACCATTTTAAAACAATTGTGAAGTATAAGGATACCACGTTAAGTTACTAACAGTGGGAAATTGGTTCGTTCAGTTGGCTGGACAGCTGGTTTATAATGAAAAGTGGTACCTACAGCATCAGCTCAATTTCTGCACCAGCTGAGGTTACCATGAAGTGTTCTCTTTCTCAGACTCTCCACTCACCTGAGGTATAGTGACCCTCAGGTCCACCAGTCATGTCTCTCTCTCCCTGTCTCTCTCTCTGTCTCTCTCTCCCTGTCCCTTCCTCTAATGGGAGAGCAGCCCTATGCCCTGGTAAGACGACAATGACTCTTGCATATTTAACACTTTCTGGGAAACCGTTTCTTTACACCTCTAATTTCATGCCATTAATATTTGAATTTTTTCTCTTCAAGCTTTTATGTATTATCTTTTCTTCCTGCAATACAATTCTTCCTGCAAAAATACAGAACGTTGAGTTTTCTTATAGTTTAGTATTCTGCTACTTCACTTCAAATATCATAAGATTGCAATCTTGAGTTGCCACTGTTTGTGAGGCATTTTCAAATCAAAGCATTAGAATTTTCTAGCTAGTTTTCTAGGCTATGTAAGAGTGACCATTTGGTATTACTGAACTTGAGTATTGCTGAGAAATAATACACATTTTGTCAAAGCTTTTTGCCTTGCACTCATCAGAACAATTCACAAGTATTACTAAAGTAAAGAGAAAATAACATTTATAATGCATCAGAAGAATGTACTGATTTGTTGACAAGTGGATTCTGATTTGCTGCCATTGAGAAAACACAAGTTAGATGATGATTGACAATCAAGTGCCAAGCTTTGTTCAAGTTTTATACCAGGCAGATTGACTCTAATTGGTCAAGGCATGCCCTGAGAAATGAACAACAAAATAGGTGTCATTTATTTTGTGTATCTGAAACCGGTGCAATCTGTTTGCAAAGAACAATGTCCAGTCAACTAATATATATAACGTCTAGTATGTGCAAGTGTGCGACACTGTGAATCCAACTCCCAATCCTGAACTAGCTGTCAGCATAATGTTTCACACATTCTGGATTTATACCTAATGTTGGTTGCATCAAACATCTGCCAGTGGCTTAATAGGATCAAATTATTTACTGACTCTCTTTATCCTCATTTTCTTCTTTTTGCTGTAGCTTCTGAGAGCGATCACATTATAGGAGCCATAATTGGGGCAGTACTGGCAGCAATTGTGATTGGAGCTATTGTCTGGGTAATTACAAAGAAGGCAAAGAAGAAGGCAAAGAAAAATGTGGGGAACGATACTGAATTTCAGTGAGTGTTATTTTCAATTTTTTATTCATAATGTTTCAAACTTCAAATTGCAGGAAGGCTTTTTTTCACCTGTGTTTTGTTATTTGTTATCAACTCAATAACAAAAAGAGAGGAAAGCATTTGATTTTATCCTCTCTTAGGAACATGCATCCGTACAGTACCTGAATGTTTGATTATTTCTGAACATCCCACAAACAGTCCCCATCTGGGCCGAGTTAGTTGCTTACAACCAGATAACTTTCAGGCCTTAATACCCACCTGAGATCAAATAGGGCAAGGAAAACATAGATTCATTATCACCAAGATTGAGACCACGCTTTCAACTGCCTCTGCTACCTTTCTCGCTATTTCTGGCCACCTCAATCAAATATCCCTTTTCTCCCCGTAATCCCCTGCCATATTTTTGAATTTGCATCTTTCTCTAGCTTCTTTCCTATCTCCACTCGTGCCCTGTCTGCGAGGATCATTTCCATGAAACTATATTTCTTGACCTTGACCATATTCCCATGAAACTGCTGACCGTAAAACTTTCTTAGTCCCCATTTTAGCTGAAACAATCAGCAGTTCTCTCAAGAACATCATCTAGAACCACAGTATTGGTTTCAAAAGTACTTTGGTAATACTCAGCGCTACATGATCATCAACCCTGTCAACCTCTCCACTATCTCGGAAACTATCACTGAAATATCAGTCTGCTTGTCTGCCATCCAGTACAAGATTCGTAGTAATTTGCTCCAGCTAATTATAGGGAAGACTAAAGGCAGTTTCTTCAGTCCTGCAATAAAATTTGTTCCCTAGCCTTCAACTTTGTCTCCTTATCCATGAAGTATTTGAAGCTAAAATAGACTGTTAACCAGCTTGGTATATCTTATGCTCAGTTGAGCTTCTGACTTCATATTCGTCCCATCATGAAGGCTGAATACTTCTACCTCTGTAATATTGCCCATGGTCCCACAGCATGCTGACATTCTCTGGTTAGGCTCCTACTTGTTGATAATGATCTGGCCAAGAACCTGAGGCTAGCTACTTCCAACAGGGCTGTATTCCAGACACAATTAATACTATAAGCCAGGACAGAAATTAATAAACTTAGGGATAAGCAAGTTTGTCAATTTTCATTTCTCATTTATATAGAAAATGCATATGGCTATAGAGAACATCATAATTGTTCATTATTTCTGTTTTCTCAAGGGTGAAGCAAGAAGCTAGGAAAACATCTACTACATATGCAACTGTCCCTACTGATGATGCCTCAGCAGCAACAACAAATGAGACTGCTGCTCAGTTGTCAGAGGTAGACCATAGCAGGATGGAGGCATCTGAGGTACACAGGCATCCAACTGAAACTCCACTTTTGAGTGAAAATGCTATTCCCTCTGGCACTGAAAAAGCACCAAATGAAGAGACTGATGGAGTTAGAACACATGCTGTCTAGTTCACCCATTTTGCCAAACCAGTATAACTACCAGCAGTGTCAGAATCTGAAGTCATATACATTGATGTATTTTTACACGCAACATATTCTATTATAATACACATCTACTATTGGCAATGACTCGGTGACAATAAACTGATTTTCCATAATTATTGCAATTGCAATTGCAATTACTATGTCCAGGCCAAATAACTAAAATCACCATTAAAGTCAAAGTTAATATTGTGTAACATCGTCCCAGGTATATTTTGTTGTGCATAAAGTTTACATTTATAAACTTTCCCAAAATAATAAAACAATTTTTATTTTACTTTGCACACAGGGCAAATTATACACACCCAAAAATCCTCTTTAAACATAAGTGCCAGATATCCTAACATCCGTATGATTCACATGCCACCTGACATTTCCAGACCAATGACTAAAACATAATAATAGTGTTGCAATTCCAATTTTACATTTGACTAATGCACAGAGTGAGTGGTGGGATCATGCAGTCACCTCAGCATTTCTCAACCAAGGAGGGGAAAATTAATCCAAATAACTGCTTCTCACCATTGCCCGTAAAGATGAGTTTTGATATCAAGTAAAAAATTGATTGGAATTGGCTAAAATTCCTTTGTTGAATAATTTGTTAACATTCACTAACAAGATTTATACATAAAGAATGTTTACTTCAGTGAGTCATGTAGATATAGAGAAATTGCTAGTTGGCGTTTTAAGATTTGTGCCCTTGGTTAAGTAGGAAAACCAGAAGTGGTATATTTGTCCATAATTTTTATTACAGAAAATTACCTCCACAACAGTGGAAAGTGTTCCTGAATATGGAATTAATGTTATTTTAGGCGAATCATTTAAAAAAGGTAGTTCAACTGCTAAAGAAAAAAAAAAGCGGTTTAAGGAAAGAATATCAAAATTGGATTCGAATAGTATGTCCATGTGGCAAACATGATGACTGAGGTGCCTTTTCTATGCTGAAATGTTATTGCTTATCAAATTTATTTAATCATAACTTACTGCATTTCAAAATCAATATCATGTTGAAAATACTTTGATAATAGACTAACTAATGTAAGTTAAAAACTGTAGTAGCCCTTGGTGACTCCCTTTAAAACTAAATTAATCAAATTTAAAGCCTAAGAAGCTTACAAACTGCTAATACTGGATATTTTGTTCAGTATTCAGTATTGATTAGTATTTTCATACAAATACAGAAAAATGTAATTGTTGCCAATGTAATTTTTCAAAAGTAAAAGGGTTTTATGTAAAATTGTCTAGGGTTTAAAGATCTAAAATGCATACAAAATCATATAATAATAATTTTACAAACCTACTTCCAGGTGTTAACTCTTGTGACACAGACTAAAGTGATTTTTGAAAAGTGTGTGTTGAAAATAAATAATATACCTATCTTAACTTTTATAATAGATATCGTATTAGCTTAGCTACGTGTCTGTACCTTTGCAGATTTTATAAACTTTCTTAAATAATGCACTGACTCCATGGGGAAAAATGTGTTACATCTGTGGTTTTAATCATGCCATACAGATTACATTGATTCTCTGTGTGGCACTTAGGAACAGGAGTAAGCCTTTCAACCCATTGAGCCTGCAACACCATCTAATGTGAACATGCTTGATTGAATACTTCAATACCTTTTACTTATTATGTTCACATAACCCTTTCCACAATGGTGATGGGAAATCTATCCATCTTTATCTTAAACATATTCAAAGATTCAGCTTCCACAGACTGATAGGGTAGAGAATTCCAAAGATTCACAACCTCCTGGCAATTGGCAAAGATCTTCATGAGGAAAGCTGTGCAGCATGAGGGAACAGGCAGGACAATGAGGTTGAGGATTATTAGATCAGCAATGATCTCATTGAACGGTGGCGCAAGCTCAATAGCCCGAATGGCCTACTCCTGCTTCTATGTTTAACAGTCTTGCAGTCTTGTAGCACGTTAGGTAGAGTCCCACAGTGTTGTCTGCCCCTGGGAATTAGGCATCCTCTGCGCAGTACCACTTCATGAATTAAATTCTCCCTCTATCATTATATATGGCACTTGTACAGATAGACACACTGATACAAGAGCAGAAGTAGAGTAACCTGTGAATGTTTAAGTGGAAAACGGGAAATGTTTAAAGCCTGAGAAGTGCTGTTAACATGAGATGATACATAGAAGTTATTCAAATAGAGCTAGACATTTAGAAGACACAGGGAATGAGCAATTAATTGATGTCATGGTATGGGTTCATGAGGGGTACAGCAGGCAAGAAATGGAAATAGGAAAGTCTAGTATAATGAAACATAGTCATGTTATTAAGATTATATAAAACAAACACAGAATGGTGGTTCATTTCTAGAAGGCTAATATTGAAAAGCAAAAAACCTATATAGAAAATTGGTTAGACCAGGAGCACTGTAAACATTTCTGGTCTCCATATTGAGATATAGAGATATGTGGAAGGAACAATAATGATTTACGAGAATGACACCATAAAAGACTTAATAGTAGTGGCCGAACAGACTGGGGCCTTTTTCTGTAGAAAAAAGAAAACTGAGTGATAATCTGATTATGGCCTTTAAAATTTCGAAAGGGTTTGATAGATTTAAAGTAGAGAAGATATTTCCACTCGTGGACAAGACCAGAACTCGGTGCTATAAATTTATGATAGTCAGTGAAAAGATCCAGGAAATCTTGTGGTATAATGGGTAGCCTTTAAACCAAAAGCTCTGAGTTCAAGTCCCAATTCAGGCCTTGTTGACCATGGAAGGAGAATACAAGGCATTTCTGAACAGAGCGATAATTAACCTGCTATTTCTTCCAACTTATCTATGGCAGACAGTAATGGGAGAGATTCATGGTCAGCCATGCCTGATGCAAAGTGGTACCATTCAAACAGTAAACATGTATCTCTCTCTGAAGTAGGAAGTCGTGGACTATGGCTAACTACAGACTGTTTGGCATATAAATCAAACAGGAATTCAAGAGAAATATTTTTATTCAGACAGTGGTTAGAATGTGAAACTCATCACCATATGCAATAAATGGGGGAAATATCGTGAATGCATTTAAGGGGAAGCTATATAAACACACAAAGAAGAAAGAATAGGAAAAATTCTGATGGGGTTAGATGACTGTAGAAAATAAACACCAACATAAGACTTCTTGGGATGTATATTCTGCTCCTGTTCTGTAAATGCCATATATTTCTAAGACGGAGTCCAGAATCTTGAAGATAGAGAATATATACTGTTACAAAGGATGCAAATTGAATTGCCAGCACATTATTGCAATTGAGGGCTCCTACCTCACATGACAACTGATCTTCCCCTACCCATGAAATACCAATATAACTATGTTGATGATGTGATGTAAAAGCAGGAAGTGCTGGAGAAGCTCAACAGGTCTGGACGCATCTGGGGAGCGAGAAGAAGAGGTAACATTTCAAGCTCAAGAAGAGTTCCGAAGAAGAGACATACTGGACTCGAAATGTTAAGCCTGTTTCTCTCTCCATAGGTGCTGCTAGACCTGTTGAGGTTCTCTAACACTTTCTGCTTTTCTTTCAGATTTCCTGCATCTGCTCTAATTTGCTTTAATCTGATGAGGTGTCATTTGTGTAGCAGCATTTCTGGGGCAACATGAGACAGGTGACTGCTTGGAAGGCAATATCAGTTTGTTAATAGTTCAATCTGCACCCTCAGTTTCAGCTTCTTTTCTCCTCCCCTTAAGGTACTATATTCTATTTTACTTTCCTGGCTTTTCCTGATTCCATTTTATATCGGCAATGTACTTACACGATTCAAGGTGTTCGTAAGTTCTCTGCCTTATATGTATTTTTAATATATTTTTATGCTTTGCACTATTGTTTATTGTTCATATTATTGCAGGCTTTTAAAGACATCCAGTTTTCCACTCAAACAGGTTATCCTGTTTTATGTCTGCTATTGTCTATTTCTGGCCTTTCCTTCGTTTTGCCTTTTCCCAATACTTTCCTTGGCAATAGAAATGTAAAATTGTCTTTTCCCTCCAAAGTTTCTAATTGACCTGTTGGATTGTTTCCAACATTTTGTTTCTGATTTCCAGCAATTTGTTTTCTACTTTCTGTTTATAACTAACAAACAGCATTTTGGTTATGAATTTACAACATATTATTATCAAATTGTTTACTGTCTAGGTATGGGACAGAGATTTGTCTGACAAAAGATAGCCATGACTTGTTTTTTGTAATTGATTAGTTGCTTGTATTGCCATTAGGATTCTTTAATCAACTATGTTATACTTTATAATTCTATAGAGAGCAGGCCGAAATTAACATTTTAATAAAGGAGGAGACTTTAAATAAAACATTTAGTTTTAATTTCAGCAATGTGTGATTTCATTTCTTCCTATCAGCGTAATTAATTGCAGTATTCATGCCATTGATAACTTTTAGGCTTGGATGTTGAACTGAGATGATCAGGTATTTGACATAAAAGTTGCTGTGGATTGGAATTTTTCTGTACAGAGCAGCGAATTATATTTTCATAGAAATTGAACAAAGTGGTGAATGTGCTGAAATTTTGCCTATCAACCTTTGGAGTGGGTGGTAGTATATGGTCTAACTTAGCAGTAGTGACGGTGAAACCATTAGCATTCATTGCTATCACTCCACTAAAACTGATGGCAACTCCTGAATCACAAATGCGCATATCATCCTGGAATTCCATCAGTTGTTGCCAGTGATTCTATACTTTTCCAAAGGATGTGCAGCTAAGTGCTGAGGCATTACACCCCTCCATACAGTACTCATGTAGATCATTAGAATTATCAAATATTTCCACTCGTATGCTGTTAATATTACTATAAAAGTTCCTGAAAATGTTACACTTTGTTGAAGTAGGTGTAACTTGTAATATACTTATGACCACCCTCACTGGCACTGAAGAGTTAACTTTATAATTGTGGAATGTCAAAATTTTCTAATGATTTTAAAAATCCATTTTGTGTTTAAATTTCCTTTTTAAAATTTGCCTTTATTTGAACTTCTAGCTTTATGCGTGTCATTTATTCATGCTGTCTGAAAATGTTAATTAAAAGTGAATTATTTTAACTGCTTTTAACTTCCTCATTTATTGTACGTGATTAGCTGTCTACCTCCTTTCTGACATCACTGCTGTCATACACCAACTCTCTTTGTGTCAGATTTAATCTATCCTCCACAAATGGAAAATCACCCTGCAGAGATTGTTGGATCTTTGATGGCAGCTTTCTTTGAGACCAACGGGGAACATTTAGTACCTAACTGCTGACCACAAAGCATGTTTAAAATATTTTGTGATGTAATCAAAATCATATGACATAATATTACACGTGAAAGTTGAGTGTTTCAGGGAGTATAAGCATAGCCAACATTAAGCCAGAAGACTTTTGGTAACTTTTGTTGTGCTTTTGTTTTTTTTTGTATTTCTATAAGTATCTTGAAAAATACCTGAAAAACTTTCTTACTGGAGAGAACACCAGAATTCCTGGTGAAGATTAAAGGACCCTGTTAGAACTGTTCAGTTATGCTCTACTCATTTTCCTTTGAAAACTGCAATTCATGTCCTATAACAGTTGTATATTCAACTTGTATATCTGAAAGACTTCCAGTCCGTTTTGTGAGGTTGTGGTGGACTCCCCTTTTAAGGTATTTCCAGCATTTGATTTCAGGCAGACTATTAAGTTCCTAACATACTTCTAATTGCTGTTTGCCTTTTTTCAGATGAAAAATCAGGCAGCCACTGATCAAACTTATGTTCCTTCCAAACCCATATGTACTCTATATCCTGCCATAAGCCTGTTCCAAAATTTATTTTATCTGATGTTGTAGACTTGCTCGCTGAGCTGGTGTGTTTGATTGCAGATGTTTCATCACCCTGCTGGGTAACATCACCAGTGTGCTTCCGGTGAAGTGTCAGTGTTCTGTCCCACTTGTTAATTATATACCTCGGTTTCATAGAATCCCTACAGTGTGGGAACAGGCCCTTTGGCCCAACAAGTCCACGCCAACCCTTGGAGCATCCCACCCAAACCCATCCCCCTATAACTCACCTAATTTACAGACTCCTGAACACTACGGGCAATTTAACATAGCCAATCCAGCTAACTTGCACATCTTTGGACTGTGGGAGGGAACTGGAGTACCCGGAGGAAACCCACACAGACATGGGGAGAATGTGCAAACTCCACACTGGCAGTCGCCCGAGGGTGGAATTGAACCCGGGTCCCTGGCACTGTGAGGCAGCAGTGCTAACCACTGAGCCACCATGCTGGTTGGAATGCCAGGCCTCCAGGAATTTCTTGGCATGTCTCTGTTTGGCTTGTTCTGTAGAGGATGTAACCACAACAAGAAGACACAGCACGGCCAGACACACTACACACCCCACCGTACATCAGAGACATATCAGAGATGACCACAAGACTACTCAGACCCCTCGGTATCAGGGTAGCCCACAAACCAACCACCCTGCAACCGCTACTGACGAACGTAAAGGATCCCATACCCACAACCATCAAAACTAACATAATATACAAAATAGCATGCAAGGACATAGGCCAGACTGGAAGAAAACTGATAATAAGGATACACAAACACTAATTAGCCGCCAAGAGACGCGACCGATTCTCACTGGTCTCAATACACATGGACAAAGAATGACACGAATTTGACTGAGACAACACATCCATAATAGCATGAGCCAAACAAAGACAGGCCAGAGAATTCCTGGAGGCCTGGTATTCCAACAGGAACTCCATCAACAAACACATTGAACTGGACCCAGCATATGAACCACTGAAAAACAGAACTGGAAGTGATGCCAACCACCCCAGCAAACCGAGGAATTTAAATAACAAGTGGGACAGAACACCAACTCTTCACCAGAGGCACACTGACTATGTTACCTAGCAGGACGATGAAACGTCTACAATCAAACACACGGCTCGGCGAGCAAGTCTACAACCTCATCCACAACCCGAGCTATTCAGCTTCTCAAAACTTTATATTTTATCAGCTGACGGAGGACAATAATGAAAACCAAAACTTGTTTTCCCTTGTACCTAAATGGAATTGGCTGGTACTGTCAATCTATTCTCATTCAATCTAATTTCAAGATTATTTACATTTCCAGATGACATTTAAGAGAAATGGATATTTGGTGGGGAGTTTATCACTTCTTTTGTTTTGTTTTACAGTTTTCAAAACTATTCAGAACTGGTCTTCTATAAATGATACATTTTTAATTCTGGATCATTGTCACATAGGTTAACAAATTCATTAGAGTTATGTATTTTGGGGTCAAAAAATCTGACACATTCAGCTACTGCGACGTTACTATTGAATCCAATTAATCATATATTTACTTCCCTTTTCCAACTTTTCTTCCTTTCTTTACATTGCACATTTCTGGTGAGAAGTTGGGCTAATGATATGCCCCAGGTATCAGGCAATGAGAGGCTAGGAGGTGGATGTATGAGAGCTTTTTTGATTTCTTCTCCTGATGCAAAATCATGTTAAGTCATTACTATCTATTGAGATGTCATGCAAATGTCATCCCATGCATTATGTTGTCATGAGCAATCCCTCTCATCCACTGTAATCACAAATAAAATTACTCCATCTGTTGAGTGATGGTAGCTTTTCCCTCAATTAGTAAATTTTAAGAGAATTATCCTGCATGGAACAAAATGCAAATTTTCACTAAAATACTTCTAAGATCTAAAATGTACTCAAATGAAATTAGTAGCACAAGGAGACACCGATGCTTGCAATACTTGAAGACATTGAGAAATTTTCAGAATGATGGACTTTACACAGTTTATTTGGGTGAAACACATATTTCTGAAAATCTGATAACAGGTGACATCTTCTGCAGTATAGTCAAATCCAAGTCCCCATCAGAAGGATTGACTCTGATCCACGCTGGGGGAGTTAGAGGATGGGTTCCTTGGAAATACAGGGTCTTCTTCCAATCAAGAGAACAGTGGACATCTCCAAAGAATGTAGGTATTAAAGAAGAGCTTTTTAAAGAATTATGCCATGTGCTCAGCAAGTCCTATGGAAAATGCACAGTGGTGATCAAACCAAAACAGTGGGTTATTTCTTTCGGATTGAAGCACCATACAGATGACTCATCAGAAATTCTACTACAGAAACCAGAGGTCATCCAGAATGTACCCTTACAGTCTTCATCGACTATTCAAATAGCTAATATTTCTTGCTGCCCTAAAATTGCTCAAAGTTATGGCCATGAGCTTTTGTACTTTCCTCCCAGTTACCCTCATCTTAGTCCTTTAGAATCAGCCTGGTCTTCACTCAAATGGGCTATAATCAAACACAGGAAAGATTATACTGATACAGCTTTTCCAAATATAAGTGACTACCAGTGTATCCGCTTAAAGGCTCTGATTGAAAATAGCATCGAAGGAGTAACGCCATACAAGTGGAAAACAGCTTTCGGGAGAGTCAAGAAGTGGGAAAATCGTTACCTTTACAGCTAAACTTAGTCATATCCCTCACATTTGAGAGCTGCTAATAAATATAAGTGGAATATTTGGAGCTGTTATTTTTAACTGCTTTAGACAGGTTTTAAGAAAAATATTTTTTTCATTTTTAAAATTCACTGATACTATTGCATCCCCCCACCTAAAGAAGGTAGAATTCACATCAGCATCAAGGGTTCCATAACTGAAGAGAAATGTTTTGTAGGACATTACACAGAATCTTCTTAACCAATTAATTTTCTAAGTTTCCCCCTTGGTCAACTTCTGATTTTTCATTCTGAGCTTTGGCCCTTTAAACCCCATTAATTTCTGTAAAATCCATAGGATCTCACTAAAACTCAATAGTGTTGACTTTCATCAATCTCAGCCTGCACTCTGGTATAAGGGCCACATTTGCATTTCCAAGTTATCCTCATTGACTTTTATTCCTTCACCTTCTGTCTCAACTAGAAGTGAAAAGCAAAATCTTCCTAGCCCCTGAACAATGTGGACATTGGCAAGTCAGTTGGGAAAATAGGCTGAGATTGGCAGAAACATGATTCTCAAGGTCGAGAGCAAAACTTCCAATTCTCCAACCAGGTTGTGAATGGTGAGGCAAAAATCTCGATGTGGGAAGTGACCCATATCACATTGTCACTGACCATTCGTGCCCAAATAGTCTAGCAGAACATACGGTACATACCAGCAAATCCAGGCTCATCATGTATTGAGCCACAAAACCAGACTTTCACATTGCAATGCTGCATTTCCAAGAAAAACCAACGGAGAAAGAACTACCAGCCCTAGTACAACGTATGCTTGGAAGGCAAGTGAAAATGACCTGTGCAGCAACCAACTGTACAACTATTTTGAAACACAGGACATCCTTAAGCGAAAGAAATGCACGACTGAAAGCATGTAGAGAACTATCAAAACTATATAGCAGACCAGCATCTGTGTGAATCGGAATTTGAAACCAAGTTACAATTACCTTGGTGCGAGCAAAGGTTTCTAAGATATAAAATCGGCTCAGGTCACATGAAGTCATTGTCAATTGTGATGCTACTTTGCCAATCGTACATTTGGGGAGTGAGGATGAAAACTCCATTGACAATGTTTGTGTAAAGAAGCTGAGTTAGAACAGCCAGTGGCTGGACAACCAAGCTTTCAGCCAAGAGTGATAGAGAATAACACATTCCTGTCCAGATGGATTTACACCCATCAGATCAAGATGAGTTCAGACCTCTAAAACATTATATCAAAATTTGAATTATTAATCTTGTTAACTGTGTTTATATTTCTGTATAACTGTTGAATTGACAGCACGTGCCTATGTTAAATGATATGCATCTGTTTTGGATTTCTTTTCTTTGGAAAAAGGTAGATGTTGTGGTATGTCTTGCAGCAGGTATGTAGTACAACTTTAAGGCACATGCTCATGACATCATTCATAGATCATGGCATGTGACCGAATGGTATTAATCCCTCAGTCTCCATCTTACTGAGCAGTGTTCACTTGCAGCATGACATGCTAAGCGAAACATGTTACAATCCATCTGAATTGCTTAGCTTGAGCCTAGACATGCAAAT